GAGCTTCGTTACCCGCCCGCGGCGCTCAAAAGTGTGTGTGTGTGTGTGTGTGTGTCTGTGTGTGTGAGAGAGGATTGTATTGTGCGGCGGTGGCGCCGTGGCCCCTCGGTGCCCAGGCCCACCCCCCCCTCTCCCGCGCCTCGCAGGTCAGCAGATCTCGGCGTCCACCTGCGTCAGTCGCTGGACCCTTGCGAGCGCCTCTCAGCGCCTCTCGTCTGGTCAGTCACTTGGCAGGTCAGAATATCTCAGCGCGCAGCTGCATCCCTGTTCGACGTGTCTGGCTCCCCCATCTCGTGTGGCCATAGCTGGCTGTGCAGTCGCTTGGTCGGTCAGAAGATCTCAGTGCTCAGCCGCTTCGTATGTCACGTGTTTCCCCCCCCTCGGGCCTGCGCCCGGCTGCCCTCGGGCTGCCTCCCTCCCCCCCAGCTGCTGTTCCGGCGCCGCCGCTGGCTCCCCACCCTGGCGCCCGCCCTGCCGCCGCCGGGATTTGCCCGACTGGGCCCGGCTTCCTCTCCCCCCCGCCAGGCGGGGGGGAGAGAAAGCCGGGCGGCCCGCGCTGGGGTTCTTTCCTCTTCCCGTGTGCACCGCGGCCCAGTTTCCGTTTTGGGCGCCCCATTAATGCCACATCGCTGGAGCAGCAACCTCTGCCCAGCCGTCGACGCAAAGTGTGTGTGTGTGTGTGTGTGTGTGTTGGTGTATGTGTGTGTTCCAGCGGCGTCTTCTTGCTGGCCGTACCTGGCTCCGCCGCGCCATTGCGCTCGGCCGCGGCGCCAGAAAGTGTTGTGTTTATGAGGGTGTGTGTGTGTGTGTGTGTGTGTGTGTGAATGGCTCCCCGGAGCGGCAAACCCCGGCCGGCCCAGCTCTCCAGAACATTGAGGCGGCCCCGCACAGCCCGCGTGGTTGCCTTCAGCGCGCCACGGAGGGGCCCCCAGAATCAAACCCAGAACGCGGGCCCGCGTTACAGGGGGAGCAGTCCGACAGAAGCGCGCCTGCCGACGCCACCGAGGAGCCCGTGCGCAAGACCCCCTGCACTTTTGAGCACCACGGCCCGCGACCCGCGGGAAGTGTCAGCGGAACCGGCCCATGCGGGAACGGCCCGCCCTGGCGCCAGGCTGGCCCGCCCCACCGCCCACTGGAATCGCGAGGACAGGCTGTACTACAAACCGCGCCAGTCCATCTCCTGGAACCCTGGCTGGAACTACCATGCTCAGCGCCAGGCTGGATCTCTCGGAATCCTGGCTGGAAATACCTGGCTGGATCTCCAGGAATCCTGGCTGGAGCTAGCACGAGGTGGTCAACCGCCTCAAGGAATGTGGCCCCATGTTCGTCATCGGCTGGAACGCCGCCTGCGACCGCCGACAGGGGCAGACAGGGCCCGTCAGGAACCCAAACCTACTGCCAGTCGAGTTTTGCCAGGATTTCGTCATCCAGCTTATCCAGGCCGACTTTGACATCCGCACCGTCTGCTGGAACAGGGGCATCCATGTCGACTGGCACGCCGCGTGGGACCAAGAGATGGACAAGAGGCGGCTTGCCAGCCAATGCCCTCCACCCCATGGCAAAGGCAAACGGCCTGCCGACGCCGCCTGGCCCAGCAACGACCTCGCCAAACAGCGGTGTCATGGTTCTTCCAGTCGCCACTGGTAGGCAACTACAGCTGGCCAGGCCGCCACCGCAATGCGAGTTCGCCCCAGGGCGCTCCCGCTACCCCCGTCTTGCCGACCACAGTTGACTCCAAACCTTAGTGCACCTCTTCGGTGTGGCCCTGTGCTTACCCCCCCGCCTCGACCGCTTCTGCTGCGGCAGCGCCCTCTCACACGGCGTCTCGCCTGGCCTCCCATCACGCCTTGGTGCACCTGTTCGTTGCTACCCCCTGCCCTCATCACGCGGCGTTTTGCATCGCCTGCCTTCTCTCAGCGCACCGCTCGGTGCTACCCCCCAGCACCCACCGGTACATCCACCCAGCGTGGCGCTTCGCTTGTCGCCTTTGGCATCACGGTTCTCCACGTCGTGTCACCCCCGCGGCGCGCTGTCCCGGCTCCTCTCACCACGCGGCAGCGCGAGATGCGCTCGCCCTGCCCCTCGAGGGCCGTTCCCTTGCATCCCTGCGGGACGTGGGTCGACTCCGAGTCAGCCGCGCCGCACCGCCGCGCCCTGCCTTTGGGGTGCCCTGACGCTGGTGCCAGGTGAGCTGGTTTTGCCGCTCGCCCCTGGCGACCGCCGCGCCCCTCCCCCTCTGCGTCTGCGCCTTCGCCCCGGCCGTGGGGCTGCCGCCCCCGGCCCCGCCCGCCCCAGCTTCGCTCCCGGGAGGAGGCCCCTGCCCCCGCCGCTGCATCCTTGCCTTGTGCAGGTTGGATCGCTGGCCTTCTGCAGGATTTTGGCGTCGGGCCTACGCCCGCCGCTTCCTCCCCGCGCCTGGTCTGCACCTCCGTGGTGCTGCTCCCGCGCCGCGCCGACGCTTCGCCTGGCTCTCAGGCCTCCGGGGTCTCCGCCTGGGGCC